TGGGTTTGGGCCTTGTCATCATGATTTTGAGCAGGGCCGAGACTGGGCCCGAAACTATTTTTTTTGGGCTCGGGCCTAACTTGCATAGTTTGGGGCTGGGCTCAGGCGGGGCAGGCCCGTTAACAACCTCATCCTGCCCCATTAACAGCCCTAGTTCTAAGTGTGCCTTTTACCAGAAACTCTTGGCTTTCTTATCTACCTGACAGTTATTTGGCCACGTATGGCACGTGTTATTCACATAGTGTAATGGTAAATGCTCTTCAAAGTCCCACATCTGTAAGCCATCCACAATTTCTTTGCTATATAAGTTCAAAACTATTGCTTTTTATGGTGCCATATACACCTCTTGTTTGATTTTAATTGGAGGAAATTCATTCATGCAAATATATACTAAAAGGCTAGTGTGTTTTCCTTAGCACATCCTCTCATTTTTCAGGAGACTGAAAAACTAGACATTGTTTCTAAGTTTAGTTCTGAGACAAAGCATAAGACGATGCCTTCAATGATAGCATGATAAGTTTTGCATCTTTAGGACATGTGAATACACTTTACTTCCCCGAAACAAACTCCTTTGCATCGAGAGACTCTGTTATAGGGATTTCCCCTATTCCATTGTTTCTCTGTTGCAAAAGTGGACACATTAAATTTGACTGTGGGGAAATCTTGTCAGGGCTTATGACCATTCCTTATCTCCCTACAAACAACTAGCCAGATGCTTTTCTTACCAAGCTGCAACCTCCTTAATTCATCTATTAGGAAAACTCTTCCTCACTGATACTTGGTAGAGTTTAAGTGTGGGTGTTGGATATTTTATCATTGAATGACTTATATTTTCACATGCCTTCGTTTGTCATTTACATATATAGTAAGGGAACTCAAACCACGTGGCCCGATGTCGCTTCTGTATGAGCCCAAATGTCTTTTGTTATTCATTTATTAGAATCCTTTCATTCTTTGGGTCCTTCCCGCCAACCACCCCTGCTCCCCTTCCCCCATCCGCCCCCGGCCTAATACTCTGGGTCCTGGTTATAAATTGAATTTTGACTTGTTACTTTTGAGATCTATCTGGCAAGGGTAATTCAATGGTTTTGATGCTTATAGCATGCTTGAAAGTGTTTCAATTGTACAATGCGCCACGTTATCGAGACTTGGTATATATGTCTATTATTAACTAATAAAATGGATATTTAATGGTTTTTTCTCGGTAGTGATTTTTGCTGATTCACAAATATTTAACATGAACAATTGATTTAGTGGAAGTCGGTTGCATCTTCACCTTGGACTTAAGAAGCTAGATACTTTATCTCTTATCCAGTTTCCACAGTCTTGATTCAATGTTTTCAAAGAGCAGTATTTGATAGTATTCTCCACTATAGCAAAATTAGTATACTATTTTAATAATGCCTTGGTCTATCCAATAAGTGTGCAGAACTTTTTCATGCCTCTGATTGCCTGTTTAATTCAGGTTTATACTCATGACGGCTAGCTTTCATTCCCTTCAATTTTTTCCAGTATGGAGATATGTTTTTAGTGTTGCACTCATTTTTATGTTTGAGTGGGGATGTCTTTTTTCTGCAGGAAGGGTTACTCCTGAAAGCGTAATATACAGTTATGGAACTGTTGTCTTGGATCTTCTTAGTGGGAAACACATTCCTCCCAGCCAAGTAAGTGATTTATATGCACTGATATTACATGATTAGCTTTTAGGATTCCCATGTTAAATTATCCTTATCATTGCAAATCTACCTTAAATCTGTTGAGAAAGGAAGAATATGGTGCTTCATTATGTCATCCATAGACATGGGGAGAACGAAAACAGCTTAAAAGGTTTCACGTCTCTGCTCTCCAGGATAGTTAGTTTTACTACGCTGCGGTTTATCCACAATACAAAGAACATTATCTGTATATTTGTTGGGAACGTGGTTAATTACTTTCATCATCATCATTTTAACCTTTTCTCAAGTAATGGGGGTCGGCTACATGAATCCTGATTCTCCATTCTGCTCTATTAAAAACCATATCCTCAGTGAGACCATAAGTCTCCATATCTTTTCGTACAATTTCCAACCACATCTTTTAATTACTTTAATAATTAATATGCTTTGGTGTGGAGTGAAGGTATACTTGTATAAAGTTTATGCAATTTTTATCATAATCAAATTCTCTTTGATTTATCTGTATGTAGGCTCTTGACGTGATAAGGGGCAAAAACATCCTGCTCTTAATGGATTCACACTTGGAGGGAAACTTCTCACCTGAAGAGGGAACTGAGGTTGTCCGCCTGGCTTCCCGTTGCCTTCAATATGAACCAAGAGAGCGACCTAATCCAAAGAGTCTTGTTGCAGCACTGGCACCTTTACAGACCAAAACAGATGTAAGTATTTTTGTCTGTGAATTAGTACTGCCTATAATCTAATTTACAAATTTAGCTATTTTTTCTTATGGCCTGTTTGGAAGGACTGTTAAATGCATTTGGTTCTATTATTGTTATACATTGTGTACATTGACTCCGCTAATTTGAAAATTGCTGCAATAAGGCTCTCAATGCGCATGACCTCATTTCAGAAGAAAAGCAATTTCATCCTTGTTGCTTTTAATGCTATTCAAATTAGACCTGGGCACTGCAGCGATGTAGCCCCTTTTAGGAGTATCATTAAGGTAATCATTGATTCATGTATTGATGACTGAAATTCTCAAGACATTTTTTTGGAGGCTTGTTTGGAATAGCGACATTAGTTGCAAGTATTTAAGTAGTTGCCCCATGCTTCTTGCGATTTTGTAAAGCCTGATCACAATATTAGAGAAGTGAGGATAAGCAGTGTTTAAGCAGCAAATATCATAAATATACTAACAGCCTGTACCCGTTAAGACTCCCTAAAGACATCTTAGATTACCTTTGAGAGAGTATCATGTTTTGCATAAAAAATGATGCAAACAGCCGCAACTCCCATATTGCCGCAGATTTTTAAAACAGAAGCATATACTAGGAATTTCTTAAGCTGCTTCCGTATTTATTTGTAAATTGTGTTCTCCTCATTCAGGTTTAAGGCTGAATGAGGAATTAGTTCTTAACCGCTCATGGTTGTTTAGTCTGCACTGGTACCTTCAGGTCAACTTATATACGCCAATAGCATTTCGTTGAAGTTTCAATGCTCCCGATCAGCACTGGACATGTGCTAAATAAGGATGCACAGTTTTAAACTTTCTTTTATTGATTTATTTCTGGGCAGGTTTTATAGAAATCTAGATCACAATGAAATTCAGTCTCGTGAATTTTGACCTAATATTTGGTCTAATTTTTTATGCTAACAGTTGGTTTGTAGCAACCTCATTAATTACCATTAATCATTATCTGACAGTGATTGCTGTCAATATGCAGGTACCTTCGTATCTGATGATGGGCTTCCCAAAGCATGAAGAAGCACCCCCCACTCCACCGCGTCAGCTTTCTCCATTGGGAGAGGCCTGCTCAAGGATGGATCTCACAGCCATACACCAGATCTTGGTCATGACTCACTACAAGGATGATGAAGGAACAAATGAGGTATGCTGGATTTGCTACCTCGATCAAAAGTTAACCTATTTTTTGTTCTTTCTGAATCTGTAATGCCAAGAGTTCGAGGTCTGGATTTGTAGTTTTGTAATGCTAATAATACATTGCCATGACGTATTCTTCTTCTTCTTGTCTAGCTATCTTTCCAAGAGTGGACCCAGCAGATGAGAGATATGCTTGAGGCCAGGAAGCGTGGGGATTATGCATTCCGTGACAAGGATTTCAAGACAGCCATTGACTGCTACAGTCAGGTATGTTGTCTGGGATTTCATAGGGTATCACCAATGGTGTGCGAATGAGAGAGAGAGCACCAGATTATATGTCATACGTTCCATGTGGTGTCTTGCAGTTTATAGATGTCGGGACAATGGTATCACCAACGGTGTATGCAAGGCGGAGCCTGTCCTATCTTCTTTGCGATCAACCTGATGCTGCGTTGAGGGATGCAATGCAAGCGCAGTGTGTTAACCCCGAATGGCCAACTGCTTTCTACATGCAAGCAGTTGCACTCGCAAAACTGGACATGCATACAGATGCTGCAGATATGTTGAACGAAGCTGCTGCCCTTGAAGATAAGAGGCAAAAAGGAGGGAGAGCTCCATAATAATCTATTTAATCAATCAAGTAGAAGCATTTGTAAAAAGCCTGCCATGAATTCATGTGGTTATGCACACACTTGGCTAGCAGGACCATGATCAATTAATTAAGATGAGAATGAATGTATCATGTCCAAGGGCTGAGATTCGTGGTCTGGAGCAAAACTGTAAAAAGTTAAGAGAACTTACCTTTTTGGCCTAACAATTAATGCATATGCCTTTCCATTAAATCATTTGTCTTGTGAAATATGCAAACAAGGTGTGGTTTGTACAAGGCTTTAAACAATCAAAGTAAAACGCACCTTCAAATAGTTATGGGTAAATGTGGTTTCAATATTGGCAATCTTTATGATAGTTTTAAAATATATTTTTATTTTTAATTATAAAATTTAAAGCTTCAAAAATAATGTAGATCAAATATATCTATAATGTAGATCAAGCATATCTATGAAAACTTGAAAATCTTTAAAATTAACGGTCCAAAAATACAGTATAAGATGCATTATTTTCAAAACTTGAAATCTATTTTTTTCTCATGTCCATACATCTTGATGTCGAGATGATCAATCAGAGGATATTTGGACATCAAAACATCATCTAGAGAAATTTTTGACGTGCGCTTTAATTTGATTGTTTAGAGCCTCAGCTCTATATAAACTTTTTACACACATGCCTTTCCATTAAATCATTTCTCTTGTGAAACATGCAGTGTACATATACATGCATATGCATACGCATATGATACAGAAATATTTAGTGTGCTGGTCTATGCTACAAATAACTCAGCCTTTCCATCAATGAACAGGCTCATGAATTCTTCTCCATCGACTGTCTCCTTTTCAATGAGGAGCTGCGCAAGCTTGTGGAGAATGTCGATTTGGGTGGTTATGATATGCTTTGCTCTTGAATATGCCTCATCTACAAGCTCCCTCACCTCTGAATCCACCACATCTGCTGTCGCCATTGAATAGTCCTTTTGTGAAGACATCTGCATATTTCCATTAAGCCCAAAGAATCACGTCTTTGCAAACAATCTGATCCGCCTAAACTGATTGGAAATGCAAACTATAATCCAAAGGACTATAAGAAAACCATAGTTCAATCGGCAATTCATGTCCATTAAACTATTGCATGATGATGGAGAGATGGACCCATTAAAACGATACATGATACCAAAGATGGGTTGCCCACTTTTTTTTTCTTTTTTTTTTGAGAAAGTTAATGGGTTGCCTGCTTCAACACCGCCTATTACTTTAGTGGACATTGATGACCCAACAGACAATATGGATAGTGATGATCCAACGGACAATCGTTTCACTGATAACACACGCACGGGATATCCCGAGTCACTTGGAACTGTCCCCTCCAAAGGTCCTGACTCACTAGAATAAAGGCCCTTGACATGAACCATATAGGTAGCAACCAGCAGGTTTGTCATCGCTGATTTTTTGAGTCCTGAAGAGTGGACCCAGATTCCCAAAGTCCAACCTTGTTATGTCTTCTAATTATATTTAATGGCATTTTTTGCCCAATATCGTTGGACTTGCTGAGCTGACTTGGCCAAGTCCTGTTTAAAAACACTGGTTATAATATACTTGAGCACTGATGATCGCATATAACTTGCTCCTGTGGGAGCATACAGTACAGTTAACTCCCTCAGGCAACTACTTGGGAGTGTTCTTTTTATCTGAAATTCTGGAATCCACTTAAGAATCACCAGAGGATTATATTCAGGGAAAGAAAAATTGGACTTTGAGTTCTACAAACTTAGACCTTGCCCTCCAAAAACGTTCCTTTTTTAATCTTGGGACATTAAGTTTTTCAAGTACATCTAATGTGAGATTTGAACTTTTTCTTTTTGAATTTGCTCGCCAGGTTCAGGAGGTTATATCTCCAAAATTTGGGGTCCTAAAGATACTCTGCAGCTTCAGTTTTACCCAAGGAAGCAAATGGACAGTGTGCTCCCATGGGAGCAGAGAATCTTTTTGCAATTCTGATAAGCCCTTGGCTGAACAGATCATATACTAATTCTCTAGTTGGTAGCTGCTGATAATGTGTCACATTTTGGTCCAAATTGCATCCAGTACATATTTTTGTTCTTAATTGTGGAACCAATTTGCTGAGAGAGTATACTGTGGAGACATAATATATTGCTTCGCACTTTTTTTTTATATAGTGGAAAATCAATTTTTTATAAAATCAAAATTCCCATACCTGCTGACCCAAAAATGGGTTCCCACCAGGTCCTCCAATTGCAACCTGCCCAATCTTCTTACTAAACCCAAACCTCTCAACCATCTGCCTTGCTACCCGAGAGACCTGCATGAAGTCATTTGAGGCACCTGTTGTCACATTCTCCTTTCCGAAGATTACCTCTTCTGCCACCCTGCATATCGAAAACAACAATTTCGTTCATTGAAGAATGGAGAACAAGAAAGAGATTCCATGAGCTGAAGGTTTATAACCCACGGGACTTGGACATGAGAGCCATCCATCAGGAAAAAGATAGGGATTAGAGGTACGTTTGGCAGTACCTTCCACCCAATGCAACAGCCATCTGGTTCTCGAGGTAGCTTCTGCTATAAAGTCCAGATTCAAGTCTCTCCTCACTTGGGGCAAAGAATGTGAGACCACCTGCTTGGCCACGGGGAATGATAGAGATCTTGGCCACAGGGTCATACTCGGGCATGAGTGCTCCTACCAAAGCATGTCCTGCCTCTGCATCGTAACATGCACAACCCAAGTGAATAAAAAGGAGTAGACGGCTGACAGATTGCTAGCTGGGTATGAGCTCAATAGAGAGATATAGCAGAAGAGGTGAGTGAGTGAGGCACCATGATAAGCAACAAGTTTCTTCTTCTCATCTGAGACCACAGCATTTTTCTTCTCAGGCCCTGCAATGATCCTTTCAAGGGCATCAGAAATCTCATCTTTGCTTATCTCCTTGAGGTCTCGCCGTGCCGCGAGGATAGCAGCTTCATTCATTAGGTTCTGCAGATCTGCTCCAGTAAAACCAGGGGTTCTTCTTGCAATCTTTTCAAAGTCTACATCCTTTGCCAATGCCTTGCCTCTTGAATGAACCTACATTATTAATAAGGTTCCATGAACAAGTTTCAACCAACAATAAGGTTATTGAGTTTACAGTTTTTCATGGTACCATATTTACATGATAGTTTTCTTATCATATCTTTAAAATGTTTGCAAAACCTCTAATTCTCCACCAACAGAACATGCTAGTTCCTGTTTATTTACTACAGAGTGCCATAAGCAACTGCCAGAAATTCGTGATTTTATGAATAAAAGTGCATCTCGTCATTCTCCAGATATTTTAATAAGGAGAGAGTGGAGAGCAATATTTGAGTCATTCCTGCCAACAGTCATAGTCCAACCAACTGTACCTGTATATGTAGATCTGTTGAGCCCAGAATTACTAGGCTTCCCAGTCTGGTGGATTTTCATATAGAGAAAGTCATCAATTATATACCTTTTTTTTTTGAAAGTTATCGATTATCTACTGTATGGAGTGACCATCACTTTCAGCTCACATGATTTATATATTTGTATGTGGACGAATATTTGTTAACATCACAATTAACCCCAAAAAAAAAAGAAAGAGAAAAAAGATGTATGGAACATTACTGGTCCATTAAGCTAGGATGACAGGCCAATTCATGAATAAGTTCCTAGAGTAGAAAATCTTCACACAATAGCCCTTTTGAGGTTCTATTCAGGTCTTTTGGGATGATTGACGGTCTACAAACAGGTGTTTGTGTTGTCATTGATGACAATTTGTTTTATCAGAGAAGCAAACACAGCAGTAATCTAATATTCAATACAGAGGTTGAATATGGAACTATGCCTGTAACAGCAAGATTACTCATACATTGATCAGGGCATTGTTCGAATAAATCTGCTCTAGATGTGTAAGACGACCTGAAAGCAATGAGAACTCCCATAAACCCACTGTTCCATGATAAAAGAAAAATATATACTATTGGCTAATCATAGTGCTTCAGACGAGGTTGATAGTGATAGTGGTACTTTTTCAAACATGGAATGGGATAGTCGCCTCAAGTAGCAAAATAAAATATATTTTGAATTGTCCAGTTTGGAATGATAAAACTTCATTCACCAGCTTGAGGGGGAGGAGTAGCATAAGTCCATGACCATGTCTTCAGGCCATCTATCTTATTGAAGTTAGTGTTTATATATTACATCATTCTTTGTTGAAGCTTGTGATGGAAAATTGGAAATTGTATTTTATTTATCATTAGTATTTTCTGAAGTACTTGTTTAAAATTTTGAAGTATTGGAACACACCCCAGTTTCATTAGAAGGTTCATACCAGAGGTCAAACAGAGTTTGATATGATGCAGTTTGTGATGGATAACACCCATGTACATGTATGGGACATTCTCATGTTGTAAGACCTGGGGCATGAGGACATCTCTATTGCATATACAGGCTCCTTGGATAAATACAGATACAATACGCCACCCCCCCCCATGAGAACATCTCTATGGCATATACAGGCTCCTTGGATAAATACAGATACAATACACCCCCCCCCCCCCCTGCCCCCGCTCCCCCCTTTGGATGCATTACCCCAAGAAAGGGGTATTTTCACATAACAGTTATTTCTTTGGATATAAATGTGCAATTCAATAAACATTGCAAAACATGCTAAACCAATCAAAATAAACAAAAATCAGCTTGCTCAAGAATATTCTTATGCAATGGCCAAATCAAAAGAGTATGTTGAGGAGACAACTGTGAAAGAAGCAACAATAGATCAAAGACCGATTGAGTTTATTTATTATTTATTTACCTTTCTTTTGGGTGGGGGGGTGGGGGGGCATGGTTTAGGATTTGAGTCTGTCCTTTTTAATTGACAAAAGTGGTTGTCCATGTGGGAATGGAAATCTTAGGCCAGGGTTCATAATTGATGCAGAAAATCTCATAATACCATTTTTGGAAGGTTCTAAAAGGTTTTTGCAAACAGAGGAATCTGATGGACGTTTGGCGTGTTTCCACTGAAAGGGAGTTTTCGAAAGTTTGAGGATATGGAGGTAAGGAGACCCTTTCTCAACCTATTGATGTACAACATGGATAAATTTATCAATACAATCCGTAACAGAGGCAAAAGAAGTTCTGGTTAAGGGCTATACACCATGAAATGCAACATATGATATAATGCTCACACCATTGCGACTGGGGGTCCTCCTACAAGGTATGATCTTGCATTGAAATTTATGTTGAGATGCTTTGAGAAGGCCTTGTTATTGCCAAAAAAAAAAGAAGAAAGGATGCTTTGAGAAGGCCTCAGGTTGAGAGGTAAACAAATAAAAATCAATGATCATTCATATTGAACTGGAAGCCAATGGTTTAATGATGGGGTGTCTGGGCCTCTACGGTGACAGGGGGATCACCAAACCATTTCATAAATTCATCTATCGATTTGTATTGAAAGTCCCAATTAGCCACTTTTCAATGGCTGAGAAGATCACCAGGAAACACACATAAAGAAGAATACAGTGCCCTCTTTAGGGGCCGCATAACACACATCAACTTCACGTAGTCCAACAATCTAATTTTTGCTGCAACTGTCTGCTTAGTATACCCAAAACAACAATTGGTAACCTAGATATTTCAAGTGGAATGACAGGCATTAGGCAAATAGAATTCAAATTCCCTTGAAGCAGCGAAAAGAATGATTTTGTCCTAAGGCTCAAGAGCGCTTGACCATTTCAAATTTGGAAATGCTGACCATACTATTTACGATTATACAATTCTGATTATTGGGATCAGAGACAGAGTGTTCTTCTAGATGAATACCTTAAGATACTTGATTTAGGGACAACAAATCAAAAGATAGGCATATTTCCCATTCTGAAAGCTATTAGCGAGTGTGTAGCAGATATTAGGGGCAGTGTCCAAATAACCATAAGAGATGGCTGCAGGTACTGATTCTGGATCACCAAATGGTGATGGAGATTCTTAGGATGAAGTGCTCTTTCTAGAACATGAATCCTCTGGGGGGATCAATTGCTCCTCTGCGGAGCCCAAGTTGAGCAGAGATTCAAAAGTAAACTGCATTGGAGCAAGTTGAGACTTATGTTAAGAAATGAGTACACAAGGGAGAGGAGCCAATGATTCATCACCGTCAAAACAGAGGATCTCAATTGGTTAAACTTAAAAGTGTATCATTTGAAAGAATGAGGAAAATAAAAATCAAGATCTGCACATAATCATAGCTGTCTACAAGATTATTCAAAATGGAAGTTGCTTTTATGTCATTGTCCAAGGATAATCTGTAATTCCTTTATACACTAATGATAAATATTATTTACAGAAAACTGTATGGAATCTCTCGAGTGGTAAGCACTTCGGATGGAACTGTATGTGTCATGGAAAGTGAGGACCTACAAACCTTCTTTTCAATTCAAGATTAGGCCTGCCTAAGTATATGTGTCGCTGTTATGAATGAAAAAGAAGAGAAACCCAACAATTGCATGATCATAGTTCATGTCTCAAAAAGGCAAAAGTAAGGTAACTAACCTGAAGGATCTTCACCCTTCCGGCGACATCAGGCCTATCCACAGTGACCTGCCTATCAAACCTCCCCGGTCTGAGCAATGCAGCGTCCAACACGTCGGGCCTGTTGGTGGCTGCCAGCACAATTACCCCGCTATTTCCGGAGAACCCATCCATCTCAGTCAACAGCTGATTGATGGTCTGCTCCCTCTCGTCATTCCCTCCCCCCAATCCAGCCCCTCTCTGTCTCCCCACCGCGTCAATCTCATCAATAAACACTATGCAGGGTGCCTTTGATTTGGCCTTCTCGAACAAATCTCTCACTCTAGACGCCCCAACACCCACGAAAAGTTCGACAAATTCGGAAGCAGCACAAGAAAAGAATGGCACCCCTGCCTCCCCGGCCACAGCCCTTGCCAACAAGGTTTTCCCAGTGCCTGGTGGACCCACCAAAAGACACCCCTTTGGAATTTTGGCACCGAGAGCAGTGTATTTATCTGGATTTTTCAAGAAATCAACGACCTCTTGGAGCTCCAGTTTCGCCTGGTCGGCACCAGCTACATCGGCGAATGTGACTCCAGTTTCTGGAACCTCCTGAAACTTGGACTTGGACCTTCCAAAGTCCATGGGACCGCCAAGCCCGCCAGGCCCACCAGGTCCGCCTTGGGCCCGACGAAAGAGGAAGAATAGCCCACCGAAGGCCAGGAGAGGGAAGAAGAGGTTACCAATGAAGTTGAAAAGCCCATTTCCCGAATCCCCCTCCGCAACCGAGATGTCTACACCGTTCATTGCAAGGATGTCGATCAAATCGGGGTCATTAGGGACGATCACCGTCGCTCGGCGGCCACCAACGGCTGTCAATTGGAGGACGCCACCGTCTTTGCTGAAGCGAACTCGCTCGACTTTGCCCTTCTTGACAGCGTTGAGAAACTCGCTGTAACGCCACTGCGAGCCATCCGGGATGTCAGGGGAGGAAGATTGGGGTTTGGGGGCAGAGAGCAGGGAGTTGGCGAAGGGGGAGGCGGCCGGCTGGGTCTGGGCCTGGACGGCCATGGAGGGCTCAGACTGGGGAGGTGAAGGGGGAGAGTCAATGGCTGCTAGAGAGAGAGAGGGGTTGGAGGTGAGAAGAAGGGTGGATAGAGCGAGAGAGGGGAGAGGGTGGGGTGCTTGAGGAGGAGAATTTCTGGGGAGAGAGGCGGCGAAGAGGAGGCGATGGTTTCTTCGGAGAGAGGGTTGGCGTTTTGGGAGGAGGAGGAGCAGGTGGCTTCTGTGGATGAAAGGACTTGATGTTGTTGTTGTTGTTGGTGGTGGTGGAGAGATGAAAGAGTTGGAGCTCGCCATCTCTGCGCTGCTTCTTCACTCCCTTTCTCTCTCTCTCTAATTTAACACAATTCTTTCTTCCTTCCTTCCTTTCACTCTCTGAGAAGCGCAGGCAATTGGAATATATATATCTGGTGCTGCTGCCAGTCCAAACGTGTACCGTTTCTCATCCAATCATTCAATCTTCTACCTCGCCCCTAAATAATCCTACAACAACAAAATGAAAATGGGGAAGATTCAAAGCTCCCCTCCGACCTTATTTTTATTTTCCATGGAAATTTCATATCATTTCATTTCGTTATATTCACATCAGATAACTGTTTCAACTTTCAAAGAGTGCTTGTTAGACCCCCTTTTGGTTTTGCCCACCCTAACCAACTTAAAAAAATTCCAAAAAAACAAGGAAAATGCTTGTGATAGATTTTTTTGGGAAGTATTTTGTCCAAATACTTATTTTTACCTTTTCCATCTTTTTTAATAATTATCTTGCGGTTTGTATAGAGCCTAGGCTATAAATAATCTAATTAGACCCTACCCTCAAATAATGTCGAAAAATGTTGTTTCAATACTATAAATCTTTATGATAGTCTTCAAATATATTCTTATCTTTATTTATAAAGTTTAATGCTTAAAAAATAGTGTATATCTATAAAAATATTGAAATTGAAGGTCTAAAAATACATTACAAAATACCCTATTTCCATAACTTGAAATCTATTTTTTTTCTCATGTCCATACATCTTGGTGTCTAGATGATCAATTTGAGGATCTTTGGGCATCAAAACAACCTCTTCTAATGGAATTTTTGAGGTAGGCTCTAATTTGATTGTTCAGAGCCTCAGTTTTATAAAAACGTTTTCCTTTCTAAAATACCTCTCGGCATAAATTGATTTTTGCAATACATTTTTTTACTATATTTTTAATCTTATTTGGATGTATTTTGTTTAATTATACTTTAAACATATACTCCATATTATTTGAATTTTTTTTTCATTTTTAAAATCTTTTTTGGCCGGCCAAGACCAGCCCATGCCTAGGTTCTGTTGCAGTTCGTGTTATCTAACATTGGGTTAGACTCAAGGGTGAGGTTTATACAAGGCATCAAGCTTTAACGATTAAAGCAAAGCGTGCCTCTAAATTATCCCCAAATATACAAACCCTTGCGATAACATTAAAAATGTTTCAACCACTCCTACTTAAGAAATTTGGAACTGTAGATCAAATAGATATATAAACAAAATAATTTTTTTAAAAATAACCGGTTCAGATAATGCATTATGAGATGCATTATTTTTAGGACTTGAAATCTTTTTCTTTCTTCGTATTCATACATTATGTGGACTTAAATTTTTTAAGTACACTGAGTTGTACATACGATTCACAGGAGCTCGGCCTTGCCTGAAACTCAGCTGAGTCCGAGCGTACTCAGGCGGAGTCCCATGACACTAGCCAAATGTAACAGGTGAAATCATACTGGGGTATCTGAAGAAACTTAGACACCATTGACCCATTGTATTGTCATGGTAAACTTTAAATATGATAATCAAGTGCTGTTATGGTGAACTAGCTTGCGAATCTTGAGCACCAGCACACATTGATGACATTGATGTCTGATACCCAGTGTATATACATCACATCATTTGGATACAATTACAGCATGTCATAATGTGGAAGCACAGAAACTTAACAGAGTGATTGCCAAGGATTCTTCGAAATGCCCGAACCGGAAAACACTCTCAAATTTAAGTTATCTAGAGAAATATGAAGTAGATGTCCTGGCACGAAGTCTTTAGGAAATGATTTTCTACCTAACTTTAAATCTCAAAAAATGGTTCTTGGGGAGGTAACTTTAATCTAAGACCAAACTTTCTGATTAAACCAATCAAGAAAATATGCCTATTTTTTAGAAAATACTCCTGAACAAAGTGTTTCTAAAATGTTAATGCAGCTGAATGATTTGAACAATGATATTAGCTAGACTTAATGTCTTGAACTCCTTGAAGGGGTTGCAGTCAAGCTGAAAAATGAAAGCAAAATAAAGAAGAATACGACTTTCTCATACAAAATAAGAAAAATTACAATTTGATTGTTTCTGCTTTTACAGAGAAATACTCTTTACAGGGAAGTTAGTGGGGTTACTCAAGGACAGTCCGATAAAATGTGGACATCAAGATGCTACATGTGAGGTAAGCCTGGTGAGGTATCAATTTGTTAGAACATTGAGCACAGTGACCCTTGTTCGAATCAACCGACTACAGAAACAACCCAATATTTCCTCAATTGAACCCATCTGCTCATCCGATGAGTCCAAGAGTCTGATTACATCGTGCACGTGGTTTTCCTCTAACTTGCTAGAGGCTGCCTGCAGTTGTTGGAGAGCCATGGCCACTTTCTCCCACTCGCTAGTCTCCATGTCGTCTGTCTCTACTGACCACACTCTTGATTTAAAAAATCCAGAGATCAAACACCATTTCTTTCTCCGTTCAACGAATTTCGACATTAGCGACCGAAACAAAGAAACGGTGATAGATCTTGCTTGTTTCAACACATCCATTACCTCATGATCTTGTGCAGAGGAATGGTTATGGGCAATTACGGGTGTGCGTCCAACATGTCTCAAATTTTCCAGGCACTTGGTGAGCTCCTTGGTCATCTGTTTTCGAGAACGAGTGTAGGTGCCAATTCTAGCCTCCAACCCCGAGCGGTCTCTCCTTCGAAGCATGAATAGCACGCCTCTCTGTTCTACCCTCACCCTAGCAACCACATCCCTCATCTTGTCACACGAATCTACCAACCTCAAATAGTCTTCAAGCAACTCGTTGACACCTTCGCTCTGTCTACAAAGCACGTCTTCAGTGAGAAGCAGACTGAGAAGGGAATCTAAGTTATCATACAGGCTTTCAAGAGCACTAAGATTTGTAGGTTGAGAACAACTTAGGGGACACACTTGTTCCTTCACTAAGCTCAAGATGGGGTTTGATCTAGAGGGCATGGTAATGGAACGAATGTGATATGGATTTGGGGAGGCCATTAATGCTCTGATCAAAAGCTTGATCTCAATTGTGAGGCATGGTAGAATGGGTCCCTCTATATGTGATGGTATATGATGGGGACAAAGGGAATTTTACACTAAAACCTAATGCATTTGGCTCCCTCAAACCTGCACCAAAATTCATGACCTAAGTTCCACCCCATACAATCTGTCCCTTGGAAATAGTAATAATCAATGCACATTGTGTTGTGTAGCCTTCCATCATCACTTTATTAAGCTTTTGTGTACAGCTGCACGAGGGTGGTGGCCCTTGTCCACCCGACCCGGCCTGGGAGAATTTAAGCCTGCTCCCCCTATTGTCTCCTTGTTTACAAATATTATCTTCAAGAATTCTCCCAATGATGCCCTCTTCTTATGTTCAACCTAATACTAGGTATTGCAAACTATTTCACCCTATTCATTAACTAAATAGATGAAAATGAGTTTGTTTTACGAATATGATATAGACTCATGGTTAAAAACAAATAAGAAATATAAGCGCATATCCCTCTATTATTTAAAAAATTCGCCTTAAAATTTGTTTATGTTCATATCCCTTCTTTTTCGAGTTTTTTTTTTTACCCAACTGCCCTGACTAATAATGGAAGCCCAAAATTTAATTTGTTTATTTTTTTTACTTATGAACTTACACCATAGATCAAGTTTTAGAGCTTCAAAATTCAAAGTTGGTTTTTGTTAGCATAAAGTTGATTTGATCTTCTTATTCTTATTATAATATCTTCTTATTGTTTTATGCATGTATGATTTTGAATATTCCATCAAAATGCGAGTACAATAAATCATACGATGCATGCATGTATGGGTTTCATAATGTAAAGAAGATCAAATCAACTGCATACCTTGAAGGGTCGTTTGGATACCTGAAAATATATTGTCTGTGAAATATATTACTGGCATAATACATTACTGCGTAATATATTACCTACAAATGGATTGTTACTGTTTAGGTTGTATTTAGTTGCAACCTGGGAAATATATTGCTACTATTTGGCTATGTCCGAAAGAAATATGAGAAATACATTATCAATATTTTACCAGCATTTGCCTATAAACTATCATTTCTTTCTTTTTTGTCACAAAATTCTATTGAAATGTAGAATTATATGTGAAATACATCACTGGCGTAATACATTACTGTGTATAGTGATTGATTGTTACTGTTTGGGTAGTATTTAGATGTAACCTGGGAAATACATGGCTACTGTTTCACTATATCTGGAAGAAATATGATAAATGCATTACAATATTTTACCAGCACTTACCTATAAACTATCATTTATTTCTTTTTTGTCACAAAGTTCCACTAAAATGTAGAATTAAAATCATCATCACACCATTCCAAAATATATTTTTTAATAATAACTTCATCACCATTCCAAAAATATTTTCTAATAATAACTTGTATTATTCTAAAGTCATCATCACACTATTCTAAAAAGATTTTTTAATAATAACATCATTACCATTTAAAAAAAAAATTCTAATAATAACTTGTGCCATTATAAAGTCTTCATCACACCATTTCCTACTTATTTTGCATGCCTTTGGCACTTACTTGAAATCACATGTCTTCTAAACTGATTAGGTTTCAACATGATAAGTCATTAAAATAATATGTTTTTATTGTGACAAGCCTTATTGTTATTTATTTTTTATAGAAGTCTTTCAAACGTCTCTCTATATAATTTCAAATAAGCAATACATTTATGGTACCAAATTCAAAATCTTTATGGTACAACTTAAAAAATCGAAAGAAGTTTGATCAGTAAACTAGAAGGTTTGGTAATTGTAGTAGAAAATTTTGAGGTATTATTTCAATTGAGCTTTTACTAATCTCTTATGAAGATTATGTTGTATGAAATTTTTTATTATGATTGTATCGTGTAATTTCTCATTGATTATCAATTATTATTTTTATTAATTTTGTTTTATAAGAGATTTGATGGCTTGAGATGAGGGCAACAACCCAAATTGGGGATAGAGGGATGTAAAAATAGATGTCTAGTAGAATATAGATATGGACGTGTGCAAGATTTACAAGCATTTATAGATGGAGTTGTGAGAGAAAGTAGAAATGGATGTGTAGCAGAGTATAGATATGGATGTACGCAAGATTTACAAGCACTTATAAATGGAGTTGAGAGAGAAAGTAGAAATGGATGTGTGCAAGAGAGAGTGTAAATGGCAGGAGAATGGATGTGCACAAGAGAAGAGATAAAAATGGATGTGTGCAAGAGAGAGTGTAATTGACAGGAGAATGGATATGTACAAGAGAAGAGAGAGAGAATGATGAGAGAATGATGTGAGATAGAGGATTTATTCAATAAAGAGAAACGAGTAGTTAGATTACTTGTACGAGCTTAATAATAGATTTTACGTATTTTGAAAAATATTGTGTAATTTATTTCTATTTTCTTACGTATCCAAACATGATAAATCTCATATATCCTTGTAATATGTTTCTCTATAATTGATTTTCAAATACCCAAACCACCCCTAAATGTTGATTTGAAATAGAGAACAAAAATAAGGTTTGTACGGAGGGGTAACTACATCAATGACGTTTATGACGGCCATTAGATGGGCAATGGCTGTATAGCTGTTACATTATGTAATGTTGATAGTGATAAACCCCTTCTAATAATGAGTGGTTTGTTTGCGAGGTAATATACCTTAATAACAGGTGTAACACCCCACATACTAGTGTTATCATGTTGTCGTTTTTTTTCTCACGGCTAACACCACTCCACCAATATTTTCAAAATGCTAACTTTTATTTTAATTAAAAAAATGGGTAGGGCATGTCTTTCTTACTGAAATGCCAAAAACAAAAAAAACACGTGTAACACCAAATGTAACGGGTTTGAATGAGTTGGATGGCAAGAGCATCATGTCAATCAACGATCGTTATTACCTTCGAAGAGAATTCTATGATAGCCATTATTATTTAGGGCACACCTCTATAGTATAGAATAGTGGGTGACTCAAAATGTTGAAGAAAACCGTATTTTTGTCCATTATAGCTTCTCATGATATATGCTAGGATTTAAGAAAAATTTGGCGTGAATTATTATTTCTAAAAGGGCCCCGTTATTTTTGTTGTAATGGTACTATTTATAGATGGGAATATTCAGTCAAAAAATAACGTGCTCAACATCCATTTTAATGGCATTATATTTGTTATTTTTGAAATAACAATGTTATTGTGTTGCTATTTTAATTATTATTGAGCCTTGTATACTATGCTCCTTCGGAAGTATAACTCACTTCTGCTCCATCGGCCAAAAGACCTACTTGAGAGATTTTTTTAATTTAAAATTTTAGGAACCACCTAAGAATTTCTAGATGATCATTCTAAAAAAGAAAAAAACTTGAAATATAAGTTTTTAACACTTATATATTTTACCGCCTAAAAATTGGATGATCTCTATTTAGTCTCAAGAAATTATTATTTTCAAGTGCAACGCACAATTAGAAATTTTTTTTTATTGAGGTTAATCTATGGGTTGGAAAGATTATATCCCCAAAATTTGGGTTGTGAAATTAATTATAGGTAGCTTTTATCCAAGGGAGTACATGGACAGTTTACTCCCTTGGGAGTATAATATATTTTGGCATTATTATTTATCTTTTGGGAAATTTATGCTCGTTGCCCCCAAAGTTCTGAGTATTTAGAAAATGCCCTCAAATTCTTGCATATTACATCATACCTTCTTTTTTTGAATACTTAAATTACCATTGTTTATTTCAGGTTTGGATATTGAAGATTCGAAAAGAATTCTTTTAAATTATGACTCAAGACATTCAATTGTCATTTACATTTTTATTACTTTGGCTTCAAAACTCGAAGTTATTACATAAGTCATAACCTCGGATTTCGAAGTTTCGAATAGGGGTATCTTAGGAAAAAAATAAAAATTCATGAAAGAGGGTGCAGATGTTAAATACAACATTTCAAAAGAAACTTTTGAGTAACGTAAGTTTAAGGAGGCGGAGGCGTATGCGCAAAGGGACCTTATAAAATATGCGACCGCCCTAGACCGCAAGGGACTCTGGACCAGGACAGACTTATGCCCACATGGACTATTTGTAGTTGTCTACTTATTTTAATGTTCGGTTGGGCACATGTAAAACTGTCCATTTATGTCCATTGGATGGTGCAACCACCTCTTAGCATGCACGAGTGTAACAATTTTTTTGTATTTGTGTAGATTATAGTGCATTAGGGATTATAAATGTGTACAAAAAATATGAAAATACTTATATGAGATTAATTATTTAACATTAGGAAAAGTGGTCGGTGAGTTGGCCTACTCACACTATTTTTGTGCTGTCTCCCTACAAAATAGATTTCAAAGATTCACCGAAAAGGGAAGGGATTGGGGATCTAAAGCCTAAAACTTATGAATCAAGCTTTAATTGCGAAATGGTGGTGGCATGCATTGAAACAAAAGGATTATCTATGGAAGAAGGTTCTTATTGCAAAATATAGACAGGATCCTTTAAGCCATTTCATTGCTAGGGGACGAAGTCATGTAAGATGTATGGAAATCGATAAGCTCTATGAGAAGGTTTATAATGGGTCTTATTAGTTGGAATATGGCCAAAGGGGATAAGGTTCTGAAAATCAAAGGTGCACCACGAATGAACCCTTGAAATTTGAATATCCAGATTTGTCTATGAGATGTGCAAATGATCTAGCTAGGGTAAATGAGGTTGGTGAGTTATGTGGCGACTCTTATTTTTGGGAATATCACATTCCGGTATAATCTTGTTCCTGTGGTGGTGTCTGATCAAATTGCTCATCTTCTCCATCGATTTGGTAAGGTATATATCTCTCCAACGCCAAGTAATGAGGCTGTTTGGGAGCTTGAGATAGAAAGTTCTCGGTAAGGTCTACTTATGCGTTGGTATTCCATGATTGAATTAGGTGGACTCAGCTGGAGCTGAATGATATTTGGAAATGAAAGTTTCCATTAAAATTTCTATTAATGATGAATTGTTGTTTCTTTTATTTAGTAACTCGTCTCTGTGGAAATTTTATGTAGGCTTCGACATCATGTTGCAAGTTTTTGGATAAGGCACGGATACCACTGATAATTGAAAGGACATACTTTCTTTTTTGAAGAAATAAACACAAACACATTCACAGGTTACGTCTCACTTCAATACATGGAGCCCATGTATATAGGCATTTATAACAAAACTATCCACTACCTACGTGTTGGATAACTACCTATTACTTATGTGAATAGAGAGATAACTTCCCTAACTACCCATTCATTCCCTTTTACATAGAGAGATAAAAATAACTTTTTACTATCTTAACTACCCCTACGTTCCTATTTTTTTTATCATTTTTAACACTGCCCTTGATGCAAAATTTCTATCTTTTTTCTCTTAAATTTTTCTTACTTTTAATTTCTTCTTCTTGCTTCTTTTTCTTCTACTTTTATTTATTTTTTTCTTCTTCTTCTACTTGCTTCTTGTTGCTTCTTGCTTTTGCTTCTTTTTTTTTTTTTGGGTTCTTGATCTTCTACTTGCTTCTTACTTTTGCTTCTTCTTCTTTCTTCTGTCTTCTTACTTCTTCTTGTTTTTATTCCTTTCTTCTTCTTTTTTTTTTTTTAAAAGCACATTTCTTTTTTCTTTTTCATGCATTCTCATGGTATCATTCTAGGACTTCAATATCTTGTTTTTCTAAGCACAAATTTTTTTTTTATGCCTTCTCATTAGGCATCCCGTGCCTTTTCATGGCATCATCATGCCTTTCCATGGCATGACAAACTAAGATTGCGATGTCCTGTTTTCATTTTTTCAAAATTTATTTTTCCTATTCCTACATTAGGTATGGATTTCCTGTCATGTCTTTCCATGGCACGATGTACCAGGACACTGGACTGCGGTGTCTTGTTTTTCTTCTTTCCCAAAAAATCATTTTTGATTTTTCCTATACCTACATAGGCATGGATTTCCCATGAGGACTACTCATATCCCCCTTTTAAAATTTCTGTTTTTTTTTTTTTTTAAATCTCTTTTTTTGAAAACTTTTGCAAATATACGATATCAAGAGCTCTCCAATTTTGTTTTCCCCTTTTTTTTAAAAAAAATCTCCATCTTCTTTTCCAAGAACATCACATTCGAATTTATTTATTTTTATTGCAAATCACCTAACTTTTTAATCAAAATATTTTTTTTTTGTTTTTTTTTAATCACCGCATTTTTTTTAAGAGAAAACAAATTCAACTTTGAAAATTGGAATTAATAGTTGAAAAATATTTTGACTACTATGATGTGCCATATGGGATAAAGTAAGAAATTAAATAAAGATATTTAAATTTTTATCATATTTTCCTTGAATTTTGTTTCTGATGTGTTCGATTAAATTTCCACACCAACTTCTTTGGCAACCTGTAATCTCCTTTATATCCATTTTTTTTTTTGCAACCTGGGTTCTTTAATGCTTGTCCTTTTTTCACAAGGCTTTCCATGCCAATGCCTATGTTTCCCTCTTTTTTTCTTTTTTCTTTGTTTTTTTTTTTCATGGGCTTTCTACATCAATATGTCTTTGGCAATCTGGCTCTTCACAACCTCTAATTGATACTTATCCTCTTTTTTTTTCCACAACATAGTGGGTTTTTTTTTTTTTCTTCTTCACATGGGCTTTTCACGCAATGCCTATCTTTGGCAACCTGGCTCTTAACAGGATACTTATTTTCTCTTCTTTTTTCCTTTTTTTTTTGCACAACCTGGGTTCTGTGGGTTATGGACTCACCATGCTTTCGTTTCACAATCTGAGCTCTCTTCACACCTTGAGCTCTTCACAACCTAGGATCTTCACAACTTGGGCTCTCTTCACAAGCTGAGCTCTGATATCAAGTTAAAATTTTACGTAGGCTTTGACATCATGTTGCACGTTTTTTGGATAAAGCACGGATACCACTGATAATTGAAAACGCGCACTTACTTTCTTTCTTGGAGAGAGAAATACACACATTCATAGTTACACACCATTAAATATTGGTTGCCTCCATAAGTTGTTTATAACTACAACCACATACACACCTCACTTCAATACATGGAGCTCATATATATAGGCATTTACAACAAAACTTCCCACAACCGACTTGTTAGATAACTACCCATTACCTACGTAAGAGATAACTTCCCATTATCTTAACTACTCATATATTCCCTTTTACATTGAGAGACAGAGATAACTTCCCACTATCTTTAACTACCCCTACATTCTTATTTTTTTACATCTTCTTTAACACTCTCACTTGATGAAAAATTTCTTTCTTTTTGTGGTTTACATAATTTGGCCATGTCTATTTAGACAAGGCCAAGTTACTCACTTCAGCCAGAAGCTGAGTACTTTGGCCGATGTGAGCTTTAAAACCTTGATTTCAAGTATCTAAGAACCGTCTGTCCAGTTACACACACACATATAGAACTCAACTCGTGCCTCGGCCCTACCATGTGTTGACACACTTGACAAGTAATAGGCATTTCAATAATTAGAAAAATAAAAAAAAATAGAAACGTGGGGGGAGGATTTTTGGCTACATGTTGAGGATAGAAAGAGTGCTTTGGGCATGTGGCTTTCCTTTGGCCATCTCTCTCTCTCTTGCATAGTAGTATAATACAACCATATCTCTAGAAAACTATTTTTTTGGCATTTGTATGACCCCAAATTTTGCACACACATTGTCTTCATCCTTATAATCAATCTTAGGAAAAAAAATGATTCAATTTACACCTTAGATATGGTCAAAATTGGTACCCTCAAACAATGATTCTCAACCATCCATTTAGTGAAATTTATGATCTAGGCCTTAACAAATTCAAGATCACTTTTTTCTTTTTTAGTATTGCTAATCTAATGATGATAATGCTATATAAAGTTTTGGGAATAAAAAAATTCTTTTGAGGCCTATATCTAATCATCTCATTAAATTAGACGGCGTATATCAATTGGGCTAGAAAAACACTGTTTATAGCGTTTTTTTTGAAATTTTCTTTTTCACTAAATTTTCTCATGTCCATGCATCTTGCGGTTAAGTGATCAATTTGAGTATTTTTAAGCATCAAAATAATTTCTTCTAGTGAAATTTTTGAGGTGCGCCTATTTTTTATTATTTTGGGCCTTACCCTTACATAAACTTTTGAGAAAATATCTCTTTATCCTCTATTTTTGATCTTTATATCTCTTGAGACCCAATAATTGATAATATTACTGGTAAGCAAAAGATCTCCATTTTTTCTATCTCACGACCCCCTAAACCCTTTTGACCATGAATTTTTTATCCAAACAAAAACTAAAATGACACCCTTTATGCTTTTGTTTTCCTTTCACGATTCTTTCAAAGCACCTCTCTTTTTGTTTTTTGACAAATATTCTTTACTTTATTTATAAAATCTACTAAAAAAAATTACATAAGAAGAGATAGTTAGAGGGGACAAAGATGCCCTCCCTTTAGCCAGAAAGTCCGACAAAGAATTTGCCTCACGAAATACATGACAAAAAAAAATAAAAAATGAAGTCACCAGATCCATAATCCGCAACCAGTTATACCTTAGTTCTCATGGAATACACTGCTCCTTCTTGTACCGATTAATTATGTTCATTGAATCTCTTTCAATAATACATCTATTCTCGATGTTTCTAGAAATACAAATTTTTAGCTCTTGCAACAAAGCCAATAACTCCGATCGGTTAGCCATTGCTATACCAATAGGGCCAGCATATGAGAAGATGACATCTCCAGTCTCGCACCACACCCCCAATGCCTGTTAAACCTGGATCCCCCAAAGAGCTCCCATCAAAATTTAACTTAAATCTCCCACTCTTTGGTGCCACTTAAATACTTATTGGTCTCATCTTTACTCTACCCATCAAAAACAAATTTGGCAAATTCAACAGAACATCCATTTCCCCCAACTTTCTTTAGTAACTAAGAGCCAAGACCAAATAGACACTATGACGTTACTAAGTAGTCTATCAAAAGATAAACTTTCTTTCTATTTCTTTCTTTCCATAATTCCGGTAGAATAACCCCTTTTATTTGTCACACTAAAATACCCTTAAAAAATAAATAATTAAAAATTAATAAATAATTAAAAGCTAACTCTAATGCTAAACCTATCCCAAAGCAATGAACATTAATCTAAATAACCTAAATAACCAATACCGGATTCTTGAATCAATGTAGAGTGCTCTCCAGATTCCTTATCATTAAAAATTTAACCCCCTTAATCAAATTATCCACTTTCAAAATAAGGCACCGCTCTCAAAATTCTACGTGTCTCTATTACCAAAGTTGCTCTCTCTCTCTCTCTCTAAAAAACCCACATATCGGATCTGATACACTTGAAAACTAGTGGTTTCAGTATTGATTTCCTCTCTCTCACTCTATCCAGAAAGCATCCACCAACTTCAGGTGAGCTCAAGGCAGATTTACATAGAAACCAGGGGAAGGAAACAATCCTCAAAAAACCTAACGCCAAGAATCTCAAGAGGAGCTTCACCAGAAGTTCAAGACAAACATATACAAGAAGAGAGAGAAGAAAGGGAAGAGAGAGAAGAAAGGGAAGAGAAAGAAGAAGAAGTTTTGAAACATCAAAACAATGGTTGCAGCATTGAGCTGAGCTTAACTGACACTTATTTCCCGCCTTCTTCCTCTTCTGCTCTCTCTGAGAGAGCAGAGACATAAGAAAACCAATATCAAAAAACACCCATGATCAAAACCAATAGGCACCCTGCTATTTTACAGCTTCTAGCGTGTGGATCTATGGCGATGAAAACCCATCAAATGAAAAAGGGGAGAAACCTCTTTCAACCCATTAAAAACTAAAGCTTACACAAAAGGGTGGTTTGTAAAACCGCTGCAAAAAATGCAGTTTTAGATGAAGATCTTTATTATTTGCCTGAAAACTTGCGATTTAGGCCCCTCAACCTGAATAGAGAGAGTATTTTAGTAGGAGTATTGTGGAGAGGGCGCAGGAAAACCAGGACTCTGGGGAGTTGTCCTCTCTCAAGAAATCGTCTTCCTACAACGAGGAGCGGTCAGTTTCCTGTTCTTTCTCTCTCTAATTCTTGTTTCCTCTTTCTTCCCTTTTGTCTCCTCTCTCTCCTAAGCATTCTTCTATTACTTCGCAGCTGCTCTGTTGTATTTTTTGTCGTTCTTTCTCGAAATGATTCATGGTTTCTCTCTCATCCCTTTACTTCATCTCTCAAGAAATTTGCCATTTAATTTTCCAAGAAATTTTCCTTAAACTTCTGTTTCAGTCTCCGTGATTCTCTCGATTTAATTTCATCTCTCTTACTGTTTGTTTTCTCTCTCTTATCTGTGGTTTTGAGAGAGAGAGAGGAGAGAGACGATGTAGATAGATGAACACTACAACTTTCGCTATTAGTGAGAGAAATGAAATTGTCGTTCTTTCTCGAAATGATTCATGGTTAGAGAAATGAAATTGTCGTTCTTTCTCGAAATGATTCATGGTTTCTCTCTCATCCCTTTATTTCATCTCTCAAGAAATTTGCTACCCAAGAAATTTTCCTTAAACTTCTGTTTCAGTCTCCGTGATTCTCTCGATTTAATTTCATCTCTCTTACTGTTTGTTTTCTCTCTCTTATCTGTGGTTTTTTGAGAGAGAGAGGAGAGAGACGATGTAGAGAGATGAACACTACAACTTTCGCTATTAGTGAGAGAAATGAAATTTTGAGAGAGAGAGGTATTTGAGAAAAACGTGAAAGTAAAACAAAAGTGTTATTGTAGTTTTTGTTTGGCCAAAAATTCAATCCAAGGGGTTGCGCTTGGCCAAAAATTCAATCCAAGGGTTACGAGATATAAAAAATAGAAATATTTTGTTTATAAGTAATATTTTTAATTATCTGATTTAAAAAATTTATGGTTAGAAAAGTTGGAGACATATAGTTTCAATCATAGACTATTTTCAATTATTGACTATCAAGAGATAAGAATTAAAAATAAAAAATAGGGATAAAAATTAAAAATAAAAAATAAGTAGATATTTTCCCCAAACTTTTCCCACCCTAATTTCAGCAAACCATGTATTGTCTGGAAAAATTCAAAATTTGGGAGCAATGGTATAGTGTCGTCTTTGCAAGACAACCTCACTGTAAAAGGTGAACAAAAAAAAGTTTACGTTTAATGAGATGACAACATTTAATTGAATGTTGTAAAATTTTTTAGTTTGTAATACAAAGTGGCTTTGAAGGACCACATTGTACTCTTGCTTCATTTACTAAAATGTAATTTATTATTTAAAACTTTTCAACCTATTTTAGAATGAGAAATGATCCAATATGACCCACCTCCATCCATGTGTGTAGGATCCCAAGGGATCGCCATTAAATTTGACATAGATCTATAAAAAAGTCAAATTTTACACTCATATAATAATTTTTCTAAAAATCCTTGCTAACTGTAATGGTAATCCTTTGGGGTTCTATGCACATGGATTGTGGGAGGGTTAAGATCATTACTTTTTTAGTAGAAAGAAAATCAGCTTTTATTTCCTATCTAAAAAAGCATTTCATTTGATAAATCAATTACTATACTAACTTTTCTTTAAGATATAAAAATAAGTGAAGTACGAGTTCGAAACTTCAAGGTCCCGTGTCCTTTTATGTAAAAGATCCATTCGGAACGTCAAGTTTTAAACATGTTAATTTGCAAGAAAATTGGTTCAAATATAAAATTCTCAACCAATCTCTCAATAGAAAAAGGAGGACCCAGTTTGGACTTGAAGTTTCAAACCCATAGTATTTTGAAAAAGTCCAAAATTCAAAAAAAAAGCACGATTGTAAGTTGTAAAAAATCAATGACAATTTTTAAGCCACAAATTATTTGAAATATTTACAAAATTTTCCCAAATAATAAAAGACCTCACTTACACACCCAAGAAATAGGAGTGGCAATGGGCAAGGAAGGCTGGCTATAGAAATGGGCACAATTTATTTGGCCCAAGGGCTAGCCCAAGCTTCAAAATCTAAGCCCAATGTCTATATCTAGGCTTGGCCTGGACCATAGCCTGGGCCAAGGCTCATGGCCCATGGGGTTTTTTTCATTTTTTCTTCATCAAATAAAAAAGACAGAAAGAAAGACTAAAAAGAAAAAAAAAAAAGAAAAAGATTCGGTATCCTAGGGCCTCATCTGGCCCGGCCCGGCCACATTAATAAGGCCCGGCTGGCTGAGGTAGCCAAAGAATAGGGCCAGGCCTAGCACTGACGCATTAGGTCTGGTCTGGGCAGGGCAGGGCAGGCCAGGCTTGGCCAAGCCGCAAGGTTCTTGGGCCAGCCTTAACAAGATATAAATGATTAGAGCGGTCTTTCATCAGCCAAATGGATGGATCTTCCCTATCCTCTCATTTGTTCAATTCTACCCTATTAAGGAAGCAAAGAGCATCTAGTGAGTTGACAGCAAATCTGGATCATATGTCTCCACCATTACCTGAAGCATAACAGCCTAAGCACCTGATCTCTAATAATTTGTTTGCTACTTCAAGTGAAGGATTACTTAAAAGGCTAAATGCTGGGTTGAGGGCAACCGAGCCACTCGTGGAACCCACTTAAATAACTACACTATGCATCATCAGCTGCAGTGCTAGGAGACAAGCAGATCCCTCTTCTATGGGATAACCAAAATGTGAAAACAATATGCCTTAAAAAATGAAAAGAAAAAGATTGCACATGTTCTGGTTCCTTTCCCATGGTCTCTCCACCTTAGACTTGTATAAGAGGCAGACCTCACATGTTCAATCCCCAAGCCTGAGGTTGGATCAGAGTCCTTGAGTTACAACAATGGATGCCTCAATTTCATACCATGTCCGTTCCCTCAGCTTGCCCTCTGGATCTCACACCGTCTCGCACCAATTGACCGAGAAGGTCATCCACATTAGCAAGTGTGAATCAAATCCTCAATGCTTTGTTGATTCTCTCGCTAACTTGTACAACGATTTGGATGGACTTCTTCAATTGCAACTTTCCCGAGAAGCCCTCCATTGAGATGATAAGTTTGTTAGCGAGATGCTCGATGACACACTTAAATTGCTTGATGTCTGTAGCAGGATGAGAGAAGCTATATCCTGCTTTGGAGAGCAACATCGAGGCCTCCTATCCACTCTCCTTAGAAGGGGTTACATTGGTTTGGATTGCCAAATTGGGGTCTACATCTCAGCCCAACAGAATGTGGCCAACGTTTCGGCCAAATGCCTTGGCACATTGAGGAAAGACCACAAGACACACCAACAACAATCCACTCAAGACAATGATGTCTTGTGTGCATTGAGACAACTTGGATCTATCACCAATTTGGTGTGTGAATCACTCCTATCAGGATTCACTGCACCAAGGAGACAAGAATCGATCATCTCCTTCATTTTAAAGCCCAAGTTGCAACAGCCTAATGGGCAGTGGGAGAGTACTACAGTCGCTCTCAATATCCTGTGCACCAGCTCCAGCAAGGTTGATGAGTTGTATGTGAAGGATGCCCAAAAACAACCAGAAACATTGGATGATTGCATGAACAACATTGATGATCAGTTGGGGTGCAGCAGCAGTCACCTGATTCGAACCCGTGTTACCCTCCTTAACATTCTAACAGAATAACCCTCTTCTATGAACTCCAATTTTGAGCTCGGGGCATCCGCTTTTTCTAGGATCTACCCCAGTAGCTTGTAATTATTATGCCTTGTACAAGACACTATACTTTAAAGACGATAAATTGTCATACATTCATTTCTTTGGTACCTCACCTATGTTTTCACCTGATAATGCAATTTAAAGTCCATGCCTCTAGTGGTTCAGCTGTTTGCATTGAATACCCATAAGGATCATCCTATTTTGCTGTGATAAAAAAAAATGATGAAACCTTTTTTTTTTGGGTAGATTAGTGGGGATTACATGCCCCTACCCATTTTTGGAAGTTGTCAAAACTTTTATTGCGTTAGTGAGAATGGACGCCGTGAACTTCACCTGTGCATGCCTTTAGTGGTTCAGCTGTTTGCATTCAATACCCATAAGGATCATCCTATTTTGCTATGATAAAAAAAAAGAGGAAACCTGTTTTTTTTTTTGGGTAGATTAGTGTGGATTACATGCCCCTATCCATTTTTGGAAGTTGTTAGAACTTTTATTGCGTTAGTGAGAATGGATGTCGTGACCTTCAACTGTGTGTGTATGTGCATGCATTATTTGATAATTCTTTAATGATTTTTCATCAATGTGTTTTAGCATAAAGGCACCTTCAACTATATGTGTGTGGGTAACTTGTTGTGGACACTTTTGTTAGTTATTGCCAACAACTTCAGATTAGTCTTCTCCTTGGTCGATGCCAGAACTAGTAATCTTGAATAACTGCGGAGAAAAAGGATTGTATACAATGAGATCATTTGCCTTTGATACAAGGAGGTCACAATTACTTATACCATCCGATGTCAAATCTGATAGCTTGGATGTATCACAAAGTTAAAGAAATTTCCTTTTCAATTTTGAGCTTAGTCAATGGAATAAAGGCAACCACCCAGTTTTATATCCAATGGTCAAAATTAGTTGTGAACACCTTGCACCATAGATAAGTAATTTCATTTATTTTCATTTTGTTAATCCATGTTTTAAGCACTTTTTACTTCTTAGGTTGTTTTTAGTTTTATTTGAGTTCTACTATTTTAATTTTCTTTTAATTTTTCAAGGGTTATTGGTTCTGTATGATAAGTGGGAAAATTTACTAGAACTTACCTGAGTAACTCGCCTCATGCCATGGAAAAGTACTTTTTGCCCAAGACGAGTCTGAAAACACTGATCAAAAGATTGGTTGGACAATAAAAAACAGCGAGTCGCCGAATCAGCAGTTCTGAAAATGATATAAGGCCTTGCCAGTACCCCAGGAATTAATGATTAAGGCAGTCATCAACAATATGCATGGATCTCGCCTACCTCCCGCCTACCTCCTTCTTTGTTCAAGCTTCTTTGTTCAAGTGTGGCAACACTACAGGAGGCAAAGAGCATCTCATGAACTGTGTTCCCTTAACCAAAAAGATATCAAAATCTCGCCATTATTTGTCTCCTTCATCGTCACAAGCATGACAGCCTCAGTACCTAATCTCCAACAATTTTAATGCATCTTAGACTAATGATTAAATTTAAGGCCAAATGCTGAGATAAGGGTTACCATGCCACTCGTGCAACTCAATTAAATAACAATGTTTTGAACCAAAAATGCAGCTCATTTCTGGATTCCCAGGAGACAAGCTGATCCCTCTTCATTGAGGCCCAGGGACAACCAATTTGCCTCACAAAACTATAAAAAAAAATGGTTGCACGTGTTAAGAAGGCCAGTCCTTTATTGAGAGATTCCTTTGGTCTCTCCCTTAAGACTTATATAAGAGGCAGAATCACAAGTTCAATCCCCAAGCCTGAGGTGGGATCAGAGTCCTTGAGTTGCAACAATGGATGCCCCACTCTCCTTCCATGTCCGTTCCAACAGCTTGCCTTTTGGTTCTTACCCCATCTTGCGCCAATTGAGCGAGAAGGTGCTCCGCTTTAGCAATTGTGAATCAAATCCTCAATGCCATGTCTACTTTCTCAGTAACTTGTACAATGATTTGGATGGACTTCTCCAATTGCAGCTTTCTGGAGAAGCCATACGTCATGATGATAAGTTTGTCAGCGAGATGCTCGATGACACTCTTACATTGCTAGATGCGTGCAGCAGGATGGGAGATGCTATATCCTGCTTGAGAGAGCAACATCGAGATCTACTATCTGCTTTCCGTAGAAGAGCCTATATTGGTTTGGAATGCCAAATTAGCGCTTACATCTCAGCCCAAAAGAAGATAGCGAAGATCTCAGCCAAATGCCTTTCAATTTTGCAGAAAGATCACAAGACACAACACCAACAATCTGCTGTGGACAATGAGGTGTTGTGTGCATTGAAACAAGTCAGATCGATTACAATCTTTGTGTATGAATTTCTATTATCACGATTCATTGAACCAAGGAAAAGACATTCAATCATTTCCTCGATCTTGAAACCCAAATTGCAAAAGCCAAATGGGGTGTGGGAGAGTGCAAAAGCCGCTCTCAATGCCCTCTACACCAGCTCTGGCAAGCTTGATGACTTGTGCGTGAAGGATGCCCAAAGACAACTGGAGTTATGGGACGAATGCATGACGAACATGGACAATCAGTTGGGATGCATCAGCAGTCACCTGATTCGAACCCGTGTTGCCCTCCTTAACATCCTAACCATGTAGCCCTCTCCTGTGTACTCCCAGTTTTGAGCTAGGGGCATCTGCTTTTTATAGGACTTTGCCCAGTAGCATGTGATTATGCCTTGTATACAACACTGTAATTTAAGAGATGATAATCGTCACATATTTTCTTCTGTACTACCTCACCTCTGTTTTCGCCTGATATTGCAATTCAAGTCCACACCTCTGATGGTTCATCACAATCGATAATTGCAAGTTGAAGGCATAATTATCTATGTTAAGAAAAATAAGAATATAGCATGTGTCAAGCTAAATGTCCAACATTTCATATTTCAATTCCACCACTGAGCAACCCAAAAAGCAAAAACAAGCTAAATGAAATTGAAGTCTGCTAGTTAAGAATATATAAAATGGGAATTATTGTGATTCACAAGCTGAAAATGAATTTATATGAAGTTAGTATAACAAAATAAGAAAACAGTAGACGACTGCAACATGGTCAATGTTTCCAAATAAGATTTTCAATTCTTATGCAAGAAAGGATATTCAAGTAATTCGGAGATGGATCCTTTCCTCCCTTACCCAGAATAGTTGGCTTCTTTTTGTTCATGTTTAATCTCCTTACAATTTCAAAAACAAATTGTATGCCACAATACTTGTCACACAAATATGTTACATCAACAGTCCTTGGGATTAACCGTCCATTTCTTCATTCACTCAAATGGGTGATAAACTGATAACCAAATTGAGAAGAATGGTTCATCTCCGCTCCCACCATTGATGGTCATGTTACTGGTATTGTACTGGTTTAAGAATCATGGGATAGTGTTATTGAACATGGATGAATGATACAAGCTGCTCTTGGAAATTTTAAGAAGAATGTAATGCTAAGATCAAATAGAAACACAGTACCAAATTATTTTAAAGTGATTTTATAGCCTTATTTCATATTCCAAGTATCCAAGACTACTTTGAGAAAGTAAAAAATTCAAAAACAAAAACATGAGGGTAAGTTATAAAAATTCAATGATATTTTTAAGACGCCACAAATTATTTGAAATATTTACAAAATTTTCTCAATAATAAAAGACCTAACTTACCCAAGAAATAAGAGTGGCAGTGGGCAAGGCAGGCCGGCCCTAAAAGCCCGCGCCTATACTAATTAATTTGGCCCATGGGCTGGCCCAAGCTTCAAAGTCTAAGCCCAATGTCTAGGCATTGGCTTGGCCTGGGCTAAGGGTCATGGCCCAGGGAGTTCTCTTCATTTTCTTTATGAATTGATAAAAAAAAAAAGGTTACATATCTCATGGCCTCACCCGGCCCGACCACATTAATAAGGCCTGGCTGGCCTAGGTAGCGAAGGAGTAGGACCAAGCTTGGCACAGGGACATTAGGTATCTGAAACAGGCCTGGTTTGGCCAATCCTCAAGACTGGGTCTTCGGCCAGCCCTAACAAGAAAATAAATGATTAGGTCAGCCTTCCATCAGCAGCGAAAAGTATGGATGTTCCCTATCTTCTCATTTGTTCAACACTACCATATTAATAGGAAGCAAAGAGCATCTCGTGAGTTGCATTCCCTTGACCAAAAAGGCAGCAAATCTGGACATCATATGTCTAAACATTACTGAAACATGACAGCCTCAGCACCTCATCTCTAATAATTTGTTAGCAACTTCAACTGAGGATTACTTAAAGGCTAAATGTTGGGTTGAGGGCAGTCGGGCCGCTCATGGAACCAACTTAAATAACTAAGCTTGCATCATCAGCTGCATTGCTAGGAGACAAGCAGATCCCTCTTCTATGGGACTACCAAAATGTGAAAACAATATGCCTTAAAAAATGAAAAAGCAACGATTGCACATGTTAAGAAGTCTGGTTCCTTTCCCATGGTCTCCCCCTTAGACTTATATAAGATGCAGACCTCACATGTTCAATCCCCAAGCCAGAGGTTGGATCAGAGTCCTTGAGTTACAACAATTGATGCCCCGATTTCATACCATTTCCGTTCCCTCAGCTTGCCCTCTGGATCTCACCCTGTAATGCGCCAATTGGATGGACTTCTTCAGTTACAACTTTCCCGGGAAGTCCTACGACGACATGATGAGTTTGTTAGCGAGATGCTTGATGACACTCTTAAATTGCTAGGCGTTTGCAGTAGGATGAGAGATGTTATACCCTACATTGGAGAGCAACATCGAGGCCTCCTATCCGCTCTCCGTAGGAGGGGCTACATTAGCTTGGATTGCCAAATTGGGGCCTATATCTCAGCCCAAAAGAAGATGACAAAGGTTTCGGCCCAATGCCTTGGCACATTGAAGAAAGACCACAAGCCACAACACCAACAATCTACTCAACACAATGAGGTCCTCTGTGAATTGAGGCAAGTTGGATCTATCACCACTTTGGTGTGTGTGAATCGCTCTTATCACAATTCACCGCACCAAGGAGACGAGAATCAATCATCTCCTTCTTTTTAAAGCCCAAGTTGCAACAGCCTAATGGGCAGTGGGAGAGTACAAAAGTGGCTCTCAATGCCCTCTGCACCAGCTCTGGCAAGGTTGATGACTTGCGTGTGAAGGATGCCCGAAGACAACTAGAGTCATTGGATGAATGCATAACCAACATTGATGATCAGTTTGGGTGCATCAGCAGTCACCTGATTCGAACCCGTGTTGCCCTCCTTAACATCCTAACAATATAATCCTCTCCTATGAACTCCAGTTTTTAGCTCGGGGAATCCGATTGTTATAGGATCCATCCCAGTAGCTTGTAATTATTATGCTTTGTACAGGACACTGTACTTAACAATTTGTCATATATTCATTTATTTGGTACCTCATCTCTGTCTTCACCTGATATTGCAACTTAAAATTCATTCCTCTAGTGGTTCAGTTGGTTGCATAGAATGGGCAAAAGGATCATCCTAATTAGCTATGATAAATGTGTGTCCAACCTTCTTCATAACAATATAAGTCTTTTATGAAAGAGTTGGTTATGTGCCTGACTTCTAAGACCAGGAAAGGTGTCCATAGGGAACTGAGCTTCTTGCATTCTAAAATTTTCCAATGTTGATTTCTAAGAACTCATCCATTAGAGGAATGCACGATACAACTTTTGCTATGTATTCCCAAGAGTGTACTAACACAACGCCCAGTTGTTGCGTTGTGTGCTCTAACCTCTAATTTATTAGCTGAAAAACATAGCTTGGGCTATGTGTGATAAATAGAATCACTTGTGGATCTCCCAAAAAACATTACTTGGCCAAATGCATTACAAAATACCCCTTTGCTGCACTATATCCAATTTACCATAAATACAAGATATTGTATATGCCATTCCCAAATATACAGATTACCATATACACATTCTATATTAATCTGATAGACAATATATATTTTCCTTTCACATTCTCAACTTTTAGGAAATAAGATCTCAACTGACATTTGTTTGAAAACTAGGCCCTACACTTCTAGGGTTCTCTCACATATAGAGGGTTCTCTCTCTTGAAGGATTCATGGGTTTCTTCCTCTCTTTTCTTTCACACTCTAACCCCTTGGATTTACACTCTCAAGGTCACATGTGGGAGTTTAGAAATAGGAAGATTCATGGGTTGTCCTTGTGCTATATAGGTTTCCATTCATAGAGATAGTGGAATGTAGGAACAGTGATCACCTTAGTAGGTAGGGAAAAGTCTTTTGGTGTGTCAAAAGTAGATGTGGAACTGTGTAAATGTGCGTCCAACCTTCTTCAGAGAAAGAAAAGTGTCTTTTAAAAGAGTGGGTTATGCTCCTGACTTCTAGGTGTCCGTAGGTATGTGAGCTTCATGCATTCTAAAATTTCCTGCTATTGGTATTAGAGGAAGGGTGCGATTTTTATAAGGCTGCAGCCCTAAACAATCGAAGGTGCACCTTCAAATAGTGGCGGAATGTCTCGTTTAAGTATCATAAATCTTTATGATGGCCCTAAAATTTATTCTCATCTTGAATTATAAAACTTAAAGATTAAAAAATAGTGTAGATTGAGTAAATCTATGAACACTTGAAAATTGACGGTCTAGATAATACATTACAAGATGTACCACTTGCAAAACTTCAACATATTTTTTCTCATATCAATTCATCTAGAGGTGAAGATCATCGAATTGAGGGTTTTTAGTAGAAAAATGGTTTGATAGGGCTGTGGCCCTATTAAATTAAGGACAAATATCTCCATATCCTCAATTTTTAAGTTTCATTTCTTGATAAACCAAAAGTTTCAAAAGATATCTTCTAATCCCCTAACAACTTTAAACCTATATTTTAACCTAAACAAATGTGAGAAAGACATGCTCTTTCTAAACCCAATCATTTCTCTTTTTTCACTTATATACTTCAAACTTATCTCTTTCTCTCTCTTCCTACGTCTCTCACTCTCTCTTTCCTCTTGTGTTTCTTCAAGTACCTCTCTCTCTCCTCGAGGTATCCTCTCACCTCCATGAAGCTTAGAGCATGGCTTTTAGAAAAAGCATGTTTTTTAAAATTTGTTTGGCTTAAAAGACCAGGATTAAATTAGTTTAGGGGGTTTTAAGAAAAAAAATATACAAATTTTATGCTCCAAGATATCTTTTAAAACTTTGGATCTATTGTGAAATGAAACTTAAAAATAGGGGGTATGCAAATATTTTCTCTTAAATTAATTAAAGCCTCACCTCATAACTCATCAAAGTTTACAATGCAGGCATTGGAAAACTTGTGCATCGATCATTTCCGCTTGAGTATTATGATTGTCCCAAAAAAAAAAATGCTTTTAAGCTCCAAAAATAGAATATATTGTAACAAATTATATTGACCATCTATTTCACCCTAAAAATAAGTGTTCATAGTTTTGCAAGATTTGTTCCATCATTTGAGTTTCAACTTTTATTTTCGTTGTTGGAAATCGGTTTTAGACCCATCATGAAGATTTCCATCGCTGAAAGTGCTTTCCAATCGAGGATTTGAGGTGATGCTTTATTTTGTTTCCATAAAGCCCAAGCCTCATAGAAATTTCATCCTATCAAAATATACCTCTTCTAATGAATTTTGAGGTGCTCCTTAATTTGATTGTTTAGGGCGTCATTGTTGCTATACTAAATATGTATCAATGAATCGCGGACCCAATACTTAGTCACTAGCACAATGTTGAATGGTTGAATTGTGCACTCCAACCTCTAATTTATTAGCCAAAAAAACGAATTAGGCTACATCTGATAATTGGAATCAGTAGGGAACCTCTCGAAAACTGGGAGTAAACACAAAGCTAGTGGCTAGGAAACTGGGAACCCGACCAGATGTGCCATTTCTCCTAATTGGAAACCTGTAAAGTTAGAAACTTCATGTTTTAACATTCATTACATATTCATTGATTAGATGATTGAAATTTATCTTTTTAAAGAGGGTGGTACGCTTTTAGAGAGAGGCGTGGGGGAGGGAGGGAGAGAAAGATAAGCTCTTGGAGAAAGAGTGGCTCTAAGGACATATTTGTCCAAGTTTGTTGGAAGATAAACATTATCTGGAAAAAATTAAGTTGTTCTTTGAAAGTGGACTTATTTGTTCAAGAAGGATTGAATAAATTCTAAGTAATGTGTTTTGATAACCAGTTGAAATGGAAGCTCTGGGTAACTATGTTTGAACATATTGTATTCATATATATATATATATATATATATGGAAATAGTGCATCTTGTAACGCATTTTTGGACAGTCAATGTTCAACATTTTAAGTTTTCATAGATCAACTCGATCTGCACTATTTTTTAAGCTTCGAATTTTATTATTAAAGATGAAAATATTTTAAAGCTATCATAAAGATCTTCAGTATTGAAATCACATTTCTCGACACTATATATATATATACCATAAACCCGCCAAGATCAACCAGTTTACATTAAAACCAAGAATTAGAATTACTATCTCAAAAACATGAATAGAGCATAATTGTAGTTAAGTAATTGTTGTAAAATTCCTATATAATAAACGAATAATAATATTAAGAAGACAGCAGAGATTACAGAAATATCTAAAATAATCCAGGAAGTATGGATTGAATTTCTGATTTTAATACTGAATACGAATTTAAATTGCATTAATAATAGACATATATATCATAAAAACTCACTGTTTACAAATACAATAACTGGAGAAAAAACTCCATTCATAAGGACAGTAAGATAGAAGAGAAGAGATATTACAATCACACATTTACAAATACAGAGTAATAGAGGTTACCAACTTTGATGCGATTATACATGATTGCTATGAAAACTAGCTACTGTATGAGAATTTACAGTAGTAAAGAAATAGAATTGAAAAGAGGAATAAGAGAGGGGTGACTTAGAGAGGGGTGATGAAGAAGGTCTTTTCGTATGGCTTCCTTGAATTCGACCTGTTTTGTCTATCTGAGGAAGATGTATTTATAGGCGTAGGTTTTTGTAGATGGTTGCCAAGTGGACGGCTGCTGGCATGCTGCTGTTACTTATCCTTATCTTCAAAGGATTTGGCTAAGATAGATGAATCATACGGCTGGATAAGGTGATGATCGACGGAGGTGACTTGTCGGTTGATGGCACGTGGTGATTGGGCGACGTGGCAATTGATAGTGCGTGAGGAGCAATAGTGGACTGTGCAGGGAATAATATTCACTGTAGTTGGGGTTTCATCAAACACGTGACAATGGTGCATAATGCAAGGGAATAATATTTACTGTAGATGAGGTCTCGTCAAACAAAAGGAATTTGCTTTGGTTCATATTGGAATAAAGTAAAGATAAGGAATCTACTTTGAGTCATATCAGAATAAAGGATAAAACTAAGATTTTCCAATGGGCCGGGTCGTCAGTTTTCAGGCCTTTGGCTAAATTCTTCAAGGAGAGGATTACCAGATTGGACAGTTTCTTCTGATGTTGTAGGTAATGTAGAAGGGTCAGCAAATATTGCAAAAAATTGTTTTTCTATTTCTTCTAGTGTAGCATGAGGATGAGCTTGTTTTATCTTTTTCATATACGAAGAAAATGTATTAAGAGTAATAGTATTATTCTTAGTAGTATTATGACAGAACTCCGAGGAAGGAGGAATCCTCTTGAGTGAAAAAGATTGTGGGTCAGTGCTATATATATCCCACCATTTAATTTTTATATTTTTCCCTAAACGGGGAATGTATTCATAAGTATTTGAAGTATTTTCATTAATAGCATACTCCCATTTTATAATCCATGGGATCTGATAAATGGCCATGAAGTACAGATGGTAGTCTATTTGGTCTAAACAAATATTATATTCATAAAATTTTTGTTAGAAAGCTTGGAAGGAATCAGGTAGTATTTGGGTGGAGGATCCCCAAATAAGGAACCAATGACGGAACCAACTGGGAAATCTTTCAAATATAGGCATTTTAAACTGGATGTACCAAGAGTGAAAATTATTTGGATTTTAGTAGAAGAATATTTTATGCCAAGCTTCAAGATATTTAGCATATCTGTAATATTTGTATTGATATTCTGTATTTAATAATTTTTTTCCCTGAGTGGGGTTATTACCTCAATCTTCATATGTCAACAACTTTTTTATTTGTAACTTTGAATAAGCATATAGATTAGTGTTGCCTTGGAAAAAATGGACAATTGAAACTGATCCGGTTTCCATTAAAACAGACTCATACCATTCTCCAGTCTTGATGCCATTAAGAG